ATTATGTACTTTTTAGGAATGCTTAGTACTTCCAGTGACTCCTATAGTTTGTCTATCAATGCTGTCATAAACTTATTTAAAGTCTATAAATATAAGATGCAATTATTTATCAAATTTCTAAAACCGCATTGATATTTCCACACTAATTCATTAACATATGGGTTAAATCTTACTAATAGTAACATTTAGTAACACATGTCTAAGAGAGAATTTACTCTGCAGTTCTTTGTTTTGGTTGGATCCCTTTTTTAATATAAGGCATATTACTGCACTATTCTAGTCCTCTTGGAATGTTTGTGTATCCAATATAACAAATAATTTTTCTTCTTATTTCAGTACAACTTTTTTTCAGCAATTCGACTAATATATTGTTTTACCTTGTCAATATTTTTTATTTATAGTAAAATTAAGTTTCCTAGATTTACTTATAATTGTACTAAATTTATTGATATAAAGTCTAAAATCACTATGCTACATACAGCTATAAATAAAAATAAACGGTAACGGCACAGTGTAAACATGGCATACTTGGGACTAGTATAGATGATATCTGACAGTGATTAAAATCACTATCATAAGAAACGCTTCGATGTAAATCTGTAGATAGTGTTTAATTTTAAGAAATTGGTAGATTATTCAAAAGCAAAATTCTAACTCAAAAAGAAATATCAAATCTACAATAGGAATTTCAAAATAAATATTATTTCTCATAAAAAAATTGTATTGATCCATACATTCTTTAAAAAGTTATAGAATTTTAAAATTAAAAATGTAAAATAAAAGATCGAAAATTTTAACACAAAAATAGCCTATCGTATGCTATTTTCACCGTGAAGACAAAATAAAGTCCAACATTTTTTTTTCCATAATGAAATATATTTTATAAGCTTTAATTTAAGGTATATATAAATGTGTCAGTATTTCTGGAACACTTTAAAAAGTTAAGTTGAAAAAGTTAATTTTTTTGAAAAAGTTGTCATTTTGAATCCGCCCCCATGGGCAAGTAATGAAATTACGAATATTCAAACTAATTTGTAATATAAATATTATGTAATATTATATTTGACAAAATAATCTGTCAAATATAATAATTTCAGATTGAATCCTTTTTATAATAGTGTCAATCAATGTCAGAAACCAATTATACTTGTCCCAATCTAACCACGCCATCACTATACCACTGTTCTGTTTTTTAAAAATGGAAAAATACATATTTTATTTTTTTAAAACATTAAAAAATAATTAAATCTTGGCATATAAAAATAGTAAAAATGTGATAAAATTTATGCAGTAAACTTACAAATGTAGTCGGTGTTAATGAACACCCAAAATCAGCTGATGTCTTTGCTCGGGTGTTTCCTATACAAGTTATGTTATGATTTCCATATACAGGGTCATCATTGTCAACTTCAACCGACTCAATACATGATGGATATTTTTTTATCATTTCAGATACTGGACAACAATCAACGATTTGACCTTCAATAAAGTATTAAATAAACCGTCGTAAATAAGGCTTTAGAGAGAAAGTAACTTAAACTTACCATTCAAATCATGTAATACTTTTACAGGTAGACTCGAAATATCATGTGCTATCATTTGACCAAATGGTACAATAAATAAGTTATTATCGTCTATTAGTCTTTTTTCTTGATTCAAAAATATGTCCAATTGTAATTTTCTACTGTTAGGCAAAGGTAAACCATATTTTTGTGTACGGAAACTGTTAATACCTAAATATTTCAAAATACAATATTAAAATAAACAGTAAGGAAAATATTCCTTGTTACAATTTAAAATGTACCATCAGAGTAGTTTGCGTTCATCAAACGGAAATACGGAGTTTGTGCTGCTCCGTATGTAGGTATAGCTAAATTATTGCAAGAACCATTATAACTCCTATATTTCTCATTCGGATTACATTGGACTACTGGAGCACATAATTTTAAGTATGTTTCATTGTAAGTGGCTACACTGCGTATGTGTAATGGATTAGATGATGTACTCAATGGTATCTATAGACAGTCCATTAATGTAATTATAAAAAAAGATTATAACTAAATATAGAAATGCAGTAAATACAATAAATCAGTTACTTTTAAAATAGCATCATCATTTTTTGTNGATTATAACCAAATATAGAAATGCAGTAAATACAATAAATCAGTTACTTTTAAAATAGCATCATCATTTTTTGTACCGTGATAAAATGAAATGAAAAGAATAATGAAAGCAATTATCAAAAGTATACATATCAACCACAATATTTTCCACAAATACACTTTTTTTCTCTGCGTTTTTTCGCCCATTAGGTATCTATATAATAAATAAAAAATATGATTTAAAAAAAAAGTAGCACAGTGGGGTCGCGGCACAATGTGGACGAGGCATACATGGGACAAGTATAGATGATATCTGACAGTGACTAAAATCACTATCATTAGAAACGCTTCGATGCAAATCTGTAAACAGTGTTTAATTTTAAGAGATTAGTAGATTATTTCAAAAGCAACCATAACTCTTATTCCCTTAATTTTATCCCGATTTATAATTATAATATATAAATAAATACTAATTATAGTTATTAAATTTAGTATGAAATTGATATTCAATAATTTAATATTTTAATTTATACGGAGAAATTATAAAAATAATAAAGTAGTTATATATTGCTTTACTTTTACGTGAATAAAAATTTAAAGGACTTGTTACAATATTTTTCAATAAAAACTGTTTATTACTATAAATAAAGGCACTGGACTACAAGTAACTATCATCAGAAGCAAAAATATACTTATCTAAATCGACTTTTCGGGATGTTTTTAAATGTGCTATTAAACTTTTTTATTACTTCCAAGTTTTAATATTATTACTTATTATTAAAAAATAAATATTTATACATAAAAAGTAATAATTTTGATTATTAATATGTTAAAATAATGAAAATGACATATTTAAACTATTTTTTTAATCGTTTAAAGTTGATTTTAGTGAATGTTTATAATAAAAAAAAATTTATTTATTTTACCATAACTTTTAGCTCAATTGGCAAGTTTAAAATTGACATCATTAAATAGAAAATTTTATCTTTATTGAAGTTATTGAATCTAAATGAGATAAAAATCAAAACAGTTGAAAATTTATTCTAACTTAAAAAGAAAAAATGTAAAAATTTCATTGTCATACGCCGGTTGGAACCTTGTACCCTAAACTCTTATATTTCAATAAGTTTAACTTTTTATATGCTATATCAATTTTTTATTTATATAATATTTATGAAAATCTATACTACCCTTGTCAGGTATTTTAAAATAAAATAAATAACAAAACCCAGAATTTTACACAAAAAAATAGCATATTTTTGAATAAGGTAATCATTTTTACCATGAAGACAAATCCAGAGGTCAATTTTTTTTTTTCAAATTAAAGTATATTACATAAGCTTTAATTTAAGGTATATATAAACGTGTCAGTCTTTATGGAAGACTTTAAAAAAATAAATTGAAAATGTCCTAGTTTCAATAAGCATGTTTAAAGTTTTGACCCCCCTTGTATAAAGGGGTATGATCCGATTTACAAAAATAGTGTGTCAGATGAAAGGGGTATATAAAAATTATTTATAAAAAAATAATAATATCGATCCATACATTTCTCCAAAAGTTATAGTAATAGAAATTTAATAATATAACATATAAAATCGAGAATTTTTTCACGGAAATCGTACGTTCTTCTTTAATTTTGATGTCCGTTTTCACTATGGAGACAAATCCAGAGGTCAAATTTTTTTTTTCAAAATAAATTATATTTCATAAGCTTTAATTTAAGGTATATATAAAAGTGTCAGTCTTTTCGGAACATTTTCAAAAGTTAAGTTGAAAAAGTTCTACTTTCTATACCCATTTTTATGTTTTGAATCCCCTGTATTAAGGTAAATGGTCCGATTTAAAAAAAAAGTATATCGAATGAAAGATCTATATAAATACTACTTTTCATAAAAAAATTGTAATGATCCATACATTTTTCAAAAAGTTATAGCATAATAAAATTAAAAATGTAAAATACAAAATCGAAAATTTTCACACAAAAATAATATTTGGAAGCTATTTTCACCGTGAAGATAAAATAAAGTCCGAAATTTTTTTTTTCCATAATAAAATATATTTTATAAGCTTTAATTTATAGTATATATAAAAATGTCAGTATTTCCGGAACACTTTAAAAAGTAAATTGAAAAAGTTAATTTTTGTGAAAAAGTTGTCAGTGATTAAAATCACTATCAAAAATAAACGCTTCGATGCAAATCTTTAGATAGTGTTTAATTTTAAAAAAATTGGTGTTTTATTCCAAAAGCTACTTGATCTGCTGGTTCTTATTAATATCTAGATTAAGATAAAGTATGTCGAATGAAAAAGGGTTTATTAAAAAATATTATTTCTCATAAAAAAATTGAGTGGATCCATACACTTTTCAATAAGTTATAGCATTATAAAGTTAAATATANTTTTCAATAAGTTATAGCATTAAAATATAATATAAAAAGTAAAATCGAGAATTTTCACACGAAAATAGCATTCGGTAGCCATTTTCGCCGTGAAGACAAGTCCAGAGGTCAATTTTTTTTTTTTAAATTAAAGTATATTACATTAACATTAATTTAAGATATTTATAAAAGTGTCAGACCTTCCGGAACATTATCAAAAGTTAAATTGAAAAAGTTAATTTTTTGTGAAAAAGTTGTCATTTTAAATCCCCTCCTATGGGCAGATAAAGGGTCAGATTTACAAAAAAAATATATCAAATGATAGGTAATGACATCAAGCATCTATAAAAAAAAAATTTATATTTATATGTTCATTTTTGAAAAAGTTACGGCACATTTTAGTAAAAAAATTGAAAATATTTCGAAAATTAGCGATTTTTAAATTTGTAATTTTTTTGGAGGTTTCCCTCATTTTCGGGGAACGGGGGAATTTTTTTCAATTTTTAAGGGTAATGTCTTCGACTAGATACGATTTGTGATCTTTTGACGTATCATTGAAAGAAATCGGTTCGGTGAGAGCTGAGAAAAAGTGGTAACAGACACAAAAAAAAACACATCATAGTAAAACCAATACCTTCTCAACTTCGCATCGAAACTAAAAATGTATAGTGAAGTTCGGTTTAGTTGTAATGTATGCTCAAAAAATTAGTAAGAAAGAGAGCCTTAATAAGATACCAGAAGTTAATATATAGTAAGTAAAATATTTTTAAAATTACTTTCAACATAAAAGTTAACTAAACAATATTTTATGTAAATTACAATTATACTTTATAGATAAAACCCGTCCAGTCCAATAGTATATCAATAGAAGAAATGTTTTAAAATCTATAATGTGGATCAACCATTACATAATTTACTTATGCCTAAATGTCAACTTCTAAGAATGTAAATGAAGGTAAGAAAAATTATAATTAAAACATTTTTGACATAGTTGTCGTAATAGAGCGTAAGTTAAACAAGTTTTAATTTTATCAAACTATTAATTATTCTTAAGCATATTAAATATTATAGATCACCTTAAACGTATTCTTAATTATGGATTGTTTTTGGAGGAATCAAGACCTGAGTTAATTACGTTGCTAAAACGTTTACTTAATTCAAACTACGTGGTGTAGTTTGTACATATGAAGTCCTATTGACGAGTTTCTGAAAGAAGATTTCACTAAACTACTACTAGAGCAAGGGGAATGTTTAGGTAAAAGTAGCGATTTTACGTTATAATTGATTGATGACATTCTATTGAGCACTAACAAATATATGCCTTTTGGTGGTGGTAAATATGTCATAGCATTATAAAGTTAAAAATGTAAAAAATAAAATCGAGAATTTTCACACAATAATAGCATTTGGTAGCCATTTTCACCGTGAAGATAAAATGAAATCCGAATTTTTTTTTTTTCCATAATAATATATATTTTATAAGCTTTAATTTAAGGTATATATAAAAATGTCAGTATTTTCGGAACACTTTAAAAAGTTAATTTTTTGTGAAAGAGTTGTCATTTTGAATGCGCCAATGGGCAGGTAAAGAGTCAAATTCATAAAAAAAATATATCAAATGATAAGTAAGGACATTATGCAACTATTAAAAAAAAATTATATTGATTTGGTTATTTTTAAAAAAGTTATAGCAATTTTAAGTAAAAAAAATTGAAAAAATTTCGAAAATTAGCGATTTTTAAATTTGTAATTTTTTTGAAGGTTCCCCTCATTTACGGGGAACGAGGGAAATTTTTTCAATTTTTGAGGGTAATGTCTTCGACTAGATACGATTTGTGATCTTTTGACGTATCGTTGAAAGAAATCGGTTCGGTGAGAGCTGAGAAAAAGTGGTAACAGACAAAAAAAAACACATCTTAATAAAACCAATACCTTCTCAGCTTCGTATCGAAGCTAAAACTAAACATTGTCTTATTTACAGTAAATCTAATGTCTAAATCTATAAACCCAGTAAATAATTTTCGTAGAGCTGTTCAGCAGAAACATTTTGAAAACCATAAATATAGATATCATTTTTTAAGACTTACTATGCCGGTAATACTTATTATGCTTTAATTATTGTCAATAAAATCACAAAACAATCAATCATGAACATTTAACAGGTAAAAAATTAAAGATGTATTAAATATAATGTAAAATAGTCATTTAATAAAAAAAATTTCAGGTTAGATAAAACGATAGTTTCAAAATATCTAAGGCAATTTATTGTGATCATTTTCATTTAGTATTGAAGTCGTAAATTCTCAATGGTTGTAGAGTGTAATTAAATAATAAGAACGTTGAACAAACTCAGATTTGAAATATATAATTAATGATTGTATTACCAGAAATATGAAAACCCGTTCAAATAATGTATCAAATGGATTTCCTTGTGCAATCTATTGACAATAAATGAACAAGAGCAAAAAATTGAACCTTAGAATAATGATAATATAGTTCTTTTCATAAGAGATATTGAGTGACGTGATAGTTAGATATAATGTACCAAATAAAATGTATTATACGTTGAATGGACCAAGCCAAAAATTCTATTATCGAACTACTGTGAAGTGTTTAAATGCATAAAAAGATTGAAAGAAATCGTAATCATCGAAATTATTCCAAAAACTGACAAATATTATATATGCAAGTTAAACAAATTTTAGTATAATTATTATTCTCTAACATTTTTGTTCATATTTAAGTATATTACATAAGCTTTAATTTAAATTAAAAGTGTAATTATTTCCAGAACATTTTAAAAGTTTCGTAGAACAAGTTAATTTTTTGTGGAAAAGTTAACATTTTGAATCCTCCCAACTCGTGTGTAGGTAAAGAATCAGATTTTTACAAAAAATATACCAAATGATAGAAAAATACCTAACATATCTATAAAACATTTTTTGTTTCTATTCATTCATTTTTCAAATAGTTAAGGCAGTTTTAATTAAAGAGAGTTGAAAAAATGACAAAAATTTACAATTTTTAAAATTTTAAAAAAACTATTCAAAATAGTAAATTAATACCTTCTTAATTATGCATCCAAGCGAATAAAAATTAATATTGCTTTTAAAATAATACAACAATTCTTTCTAAATATTTAATACTATCTACAGATTTGCATAGAATAGTTTTTATGATAGATATTGTAATTACTATCAGATACTTGTTCCAACTAAGCCACGTCCCACTTACGTTCCCCGACCCGACTGTGCTAGGTTTTTTAAATTAAATTCAGCCACAATGCTCTGCTGCAAATACCACAAAAAATATAAATAAAAAAAATATATATATATAATAATATACACAAATAATATTGGTAATTTATTATTATTCATTATTTATTATTATTAATAATTAGGTCCGAAACTTCAAATCGGACGAAGTATGTCAAATAAGTTGTTTTTATAAGATTCGATTTGCAATTAACAAAAATCATAATATAATTACAATATTTTTTTTTACCACGGTGCCTCTTGAAAATACTTCAGATGCACGGTTTGGAAACCGCTCCTATACAGTATACAATGGTGAACAAGCTGACCACTGACGACCGCATAAGGTCACTATCATGTACTCATCAAAGACGGTGGGATAGCTCAACAAATAAGCTGGGAAAAGCGGTTGCAGCATACATTATCCAATAGGGTTCGTCAACGATATATTTTTGAATATCGATATCAAAAAAAAAAAATGTATTTAACATTTAAAGATTTTTACCAATTTTTTTATTTTCAAGTATCCCATTAAGTTACCATGGTTGTAAAAATCCATTATCTTTAACATTAATGTCAAAATAATGTAAATAATATGTAAATAAGATCTATGTAAATCCAGTTGTTGCTATTTACCTTCTAATTCTGAAATTTATAACTCTAAATCTCCTTACTCATACCTTACTTTTTTGTGTTTTGTTAAAAATAAAAATAATAACAATGTTATGACAAGCCTAATCTAAGATTAGAATTTTGTATTAATAAATGTTATTTTTCGTCTTTTATTATTTTTATATTTCATAATGTTTTGAATAAGAAAAATGTCAACAAAGTTATTATGAACTGTTATTAGCCTAATGTTAAATAATAAATATTTTATAACAAAGTGATCAAAAGTCAAACAGTTTTTTCTTTATAAAAATATTTTTTCGATTATTTTGATATCTCAAAAATGATTGCTATCGTAGGACAATTGAAAAAAGTCGGCGTTATTAATATCGTTGACAAACCATATTACCCAATATTATTGTGAGGTGATAACCCTAAAAGCGGTCAGCTAGATAATTTTAGATACTCCCGTTATACTTGTCATTTAATTTGATTGATGAAAATACTTTAAAAAAATTTTAAATTAATTTTTTTAACTTAATATTAATATTTAGTAAAGGTATTATATTCAATTAATAAAATAAATACGTATTTCATAGTAAACTAGAAAAACTCTTAAAACTTGTATAATTACTCTATGGAAAATGATAAAACGTCAATATTATCAAAAAGATACATATATTATATACTTATCTAAGTACAAGCAATGTTATTTCTGTTTTGTATTTTAAACTGGGATTATCAGATCCAAATTTTTAATTAAAATTTAATCTCTTTAATTAAAAAGATTTCAACGAATTTGAAGTCATATTTTTTAAGTTTCTTTGACTGTTAAATTCTATTTCTAAAATATTATGACGTATAAAATTAATTAATTTTAAAAAATAATAAGGTCCTCCTACTCAAAGTAAAAAAATCGTGTCTCCCTTTATTAATTTTTTGGTTAGAGCATTGTTATTATTTTGGTACTAGTTCTTATTCTTCTTCTTCCTCGCCTTTATCCCAACTACTTGGAGTCGGCCACCCTTATCCTAAACTTCCACTTGACACGATCTTCCACATCATCTACGCTCAGATGATATTACAATGCAAAATATAAAAAGTTAATATTTTAATTAGTGATGAGCAAAACAAGAACAAGACCAAGACTGTCAAAGTCTTGGTCATAGTCTTGTTCTTGATAGCTCAGTCTTGGTCTTGGTCTTGCTTTGCTAACTCAGTCTTGGTCTTGGTTTTGGTCTTGCAAATCTAGTCTTGTTCTTGTTCTTGGTCTTGCTTATTTAGTCTTGTTCTTGTTCTTGGTCTTGCCCATAAAATCTTGTTCTTGTTGTGAGTCTTGTCACAATACTCTTGCAAAATCTTGCATTCATTTATATTTGTAAAAATTTTCTACTTAAAAGGTTTAAATAACGAAGTTATATACTTCAGTTTGTAAATTCAAATTTAATTTATATGCCATAGGATTTTTAAGTTAGAACTTAATATTAGCATAAACAATATGGATGATTTTTTTATGAATAGTTTGGGGTATTAAAAAAAAATAAACAAATAAATTAAATTATAAAAAAATAAGACGTTATTAAAACAAAGTATTTTTTCACTTTAAACTGATGGCGTAATATTGTCCGAATGGTAACGCAGCGGATGTGCGGTCGGGGAGGACGCGATTTCGATTCTCCTAGTCGGATAATTTTTTTTGCATTTTAATTAATTTTTTTCATTGAATAATGAACATGAATATATTTATTTTATGAGTTTACCAGTCGCCGGTTTTATGTATCGATTTTTAAAACCGGTTTTAAATAATAATCGCTTTCTGTTCATAGACACAGTTTTTAAAAATTATTGGTTTTGATTAACAAAACCGAAAAAAACTGTTATAACCAGTTTTTATAAAACCAGTTTCAGTCTCCGCTTTAGAAGTAAACAAAAATTTTATCTAATTTTATCATAATGTTTGAAGAACGGAATATTTATTTTTAATCTTCTTTAATTATTTAAAATTAATTAATTACAATTGAATGACAATAAATTTTGAAACATGATTGTAAAATTTTAAGTTAATCGGTAACATCAGCTCATAGGTAATATTTAATTTGAACAATACGCGTAATGAATAAAAATCAAAGTAAAATTTAATATTGTCGAATCTGTCATTAATAATCTTAACGATTTTAACCAACAACAATTTTTTTTTTTTTTTCAAGAGTGCAATACTCTTGCAGTTTTATTCTTGTTGTTGCAAGATTCTTGCATTTTGAGTCTTGGTCTTGGTCTTGTTCTTGCAAGGCTAGTCTTGTTCTTGTTCTTGGTCTTGCTAAAAAAGTCTTGGTCTTGTTCTTGTCAATTGAGTACAGTCTTGATGTTGGTCTTGCTGATATTATTACAGTCTTGGTCTTGTTCTTGGTTTCGTAGAAATGCAAGACCGAGCCAAGACCGCAAGAACAAGAGTAATTCTGCTCATCACTACTCGCCTTTATCCCAACTACTTGGAGTCGGCCACCCTTATCCTAAACTTCCACTTGACACGATCTTCCACATC